CCCCCCCCCCCCCCCACCCCCCACCCCCTTTCGCATGGGAAAAACATAGAAGTAACAGACGTCTGACAGTGTTCACATTCCGGATACAAAAAGTCACAGGGAGACGGGTACCTTGGTGGGATCTGTGCCCCCCTCCTTGCTGCATATAATGAAGTCTAAAACAAGTTTAAATAACATACCTCTTACCTCAGCTGTTCTTACATCACAGCCAAAATGTCATAAGCCGGTGGAACTAAAAAATCCACTGGCTTACGACAGATTGGGGGGAGGGAGGGGGCTCAACCGCCCTCCCTGTGACTTTCCTGTCTTCCTGTGACAGACAAAAAGTCACAGCTGGGCGGATGGGGGGGGAGGGAGGGGGGCTCAACCGCGAAAAAGTCCATGCCGCTTGTAATAATAAAGTAAGAAAATAACATATAGGCTTCCTGTCTACATGTCACAGCTAAAAAGCCCCGGGGTTAGCTGGCGGAGAGGCAGAAGGTAAGGGAACCCCTGCCTTGCTGCATGTAATTCTGGCAAAGCAAACCTACATTTAGTAATTTACCCATATGTCAGATGCCATGTCAATGCTCTTGTGTGCTGAGGTGCCACATCATCTGCCGCCGCCATGTCAGCATTCTGATGTTATCAAGTGGTGCGATACCAACGTTCTTTTGTCGTCAGGTGTCAGGTTAGTCATACCGCAGCTGTGTTGTAGCAAGTCACCTGACGTACCAGGTAGACGGTTCCACGTGAGCGGACACTGTCCCACAGCAGCAGTGCCATCTGAGGAGACTGTTTTCCTCGCGCCCTTTTTTTTTACGTGCGGCGAATGGATTGCAGATTTATGCTGCCCATTTTGCTCTTAGTTGTTCGCCACTCAATTCCCCCCCCCCCCCCCCAACCCACCCACCCCACACCCCTTTCTTTTAGTCATCCTTGCGCATGGGCCATGCTAATCTTTTATCTGTATCGTTCCAATTATAATTTTTAACGGATGTCGTGAAGAACATCACCAGTCATTTTTATTTGATGATTTTCTTCGGGATGACACATGACGTTAATCCGGCCTCTTACCATAGTTGTGTGGGCGAAAGCCTGCACAGGGGGGGAGTGCTAGTGACAGCTAGTCACAATTATGCGCTATTTATCCTGCAGGTTGTAGGTTTTGCCATTACCAGGAAAGGCGATATGCTCACTGCTTACAGTGCTTAGTGAATTTTTGTTTCAAAGTTCGAACCGTAAAATACTGAATTGGCCTAGTTTTACAAAACAACAGTTGTGATTGGATTCAATTCATTTGCAAGGATGTGCTTGCTTCGGCCTAGTTTTCCAAAACAGCAGTTGTTGGGATTGGATTCAATTCATTTGCAAGGATGTGCTTGCTTTGGATTTTCCGAATCTTCTTATTGGTCTCTGTCGGTTTCGTGGCCCCATTGATGACAGATTGCTCTCACAGAAAGGCATGCGTTTGCTCCGCCGCCAGGATCGCATGCAAGTGAAACGTCGCCAAGCGGCCTTCTGCTTGCAGCACTCGACTTCTCCAAGCACGGAAACCAATTGATAACCTATCTCGCATTCCTAGACCTGTGTCATATTCTAGAAAGGAACGTCGACCTATGGCGGCGTGTCGCTGTGTTTGAAGAGAGTGGAGCTGCATACCGGCAGGTGATGGGGCACTGTCTGGACCCAGTAAATGACTTGACGAATCGCATCATTACCTCTTTGGCGGCTGGAAGCGCAGGGGGTGGTGGAAGCGCAGGGAGAGTAAATGCCTACAATGCAACCGTGCAAGTATCGTCGATCGGCTCGTTAAAGAAATCTCTTTCTCTGGAAGCAGCCCACCTTCTTTTCAAGGACTACCAGGTAAATAACCGTTTCCTCTGGGGGTACGAAAAGGGGACGGACTCGGATGAAGTGTTTTGAGGTATTATACACTGATGCAGTCGGGGTCTTATCGAGTCAACCGAAGGACCTGTACTTATGAAGCTGTTGGCCTTTTTTTTCAGTTTTATTTATGTATCGCTTGTGAACGATTATGCTGCAAAAAAAATGCTAAAAATTAGACGTAAATTCAAAGTTCAAACATCGATCCAGGACAAAATATTAGATTCAATCATATGAGAAATAAGAAACGGCAATCAAATACGTAGAAAGGGGAATTCATAGGTAAAATCACAGAAGCGATTAGAATCATTAGATTAATCAAAAATGTGAATGATGAATCTATTTTTCTAGCAGCTGTTCTATCTTCAACTTTAACAAATGCAAAGATTCATCGGTTGTGCTTTCCATATCAGTGAACACTGGTGTCTGTAACGGAACATGGCTGCGGCCAGTATTATGAGGATGATTGATATGGGAAGCACGCAGGACGGACGTCACTTCATACCACAGACAGCATGTGGGAGACAGCACTTTGATGGAGCTCGTGACAGACATAATACTGAACGAATGAGTGAACAAACGAACAAATGAATGAATGAACAAATGAATGAATGGACAAATGACCAAACCGCCCAGCTAAGTTGGTACACCCATGAACCCTTGAAATACAGACTCAAGTCCAGATGGAACAAGTTGAGAGTGAATTTCTGGATTACCTTTGGCTGGTCCTTTTAAGATTGATATTTCAAGGATGATATCTCAAGGTCGTTGGCCTTTTAAGAAAAAAATGAACAATCAAACAAATGGACGAATGAATGAATGAATGAATGAATGAATGAATGATGGAACAAAGGAATGAATGAACGAATGAACAAATGAACGAGTTAACGAACGATGAAGGAACGAACGGACAAATGAACGAAAGAACGAGTGAGTGACGGAATGATGGAATGAAGGAATGAATGAAGCACAGCGAAATAATAACGTGCTAGTGCTGATCCCACTTGGCAGGTAGTGCCTGCGTGCTGGTTCCAGGCTCTGGCGCAGCAGGACGAGGACCTAGCTCCCGGGCCTGTACTACCAGCAGTTCTAAAAAAGCGACAGGGCTTGACTGTATCGTTGCAATATTAGTACATAACTGGCATGGGAAACACTCTCAGGAGAGTACTAATACCCATAGGCTTCTCTACCTTTGGGAGCAGGCTGAGGTCTTTGTTCCTCAGGCTGGTACCACCAGCAGGCCCAAAATGGAGAGGGCATCTGTTATAACCCTACAGCGTTGGTCATGTAACGTAACCGGTGTAAGAAAGATGCCGAGGGTACGCCGTCCGGGCGGTTCCGCACGTGCGGCAGACCGCCGGACCGGACCCGCGCGGCGCACGAATGTGCGCCCGACGACCAGTTACGCCCCACCCCCAAAAAAGAAAAAGAAAAAGGGCCCTGTCCGGTCTGGTCCAGGTCCGTCTGGTCCGGGGGAAGGGTGCCGCACGCGGCAAAGCGGACCGGACCGGACGCTCGTCCGGTCCGTCTGCTTGCAAGTATGCTATATACCCACACAAGGACTTCTTCAACTGCACTCTGAACGTGATTACAATCAGATGCATCCAGGTCTTAATGTGCTTGCAGTCAGAAACTGCGCTCTGGACGCGATTAGAGTCAGATGCATCCAGGTCTAGGTGTAGTTGCACTCAGAAGCATTTAGAAAAAGTGCTAGTGTGAACAATGACCTCAGTGCACTAGTAATATGCATAGGTTCAAATTTTGGAAGAAAACTGTGGCAATCATGTTGAGAAACTGCACGTTACAAAGTAAAATGGAATATAAAAAAATAAAAAAATTATAACCTGTGCTGGCGAAGACGGTGCTGCACTGCGTACCGTTTGTGTGCGTGATCGGTCGGTGCAAGGCATTCAGGTCTGGGGACAATCGCCATGGGTGCCCCTGACCAGCATTGGTCGGGGGGACCTTAGGGTGCACTGGTAACTATTAGATACGACAAATGTACGCTGTGGTGGTGGGACTTGTACTGTTGCATGGCTGCGATGCTCCTGCAGGTTGCCTACCGTCTTCACCCGAATAGAACGCCCGGTCATTATAGCCGTACCTGGACTGCAAATTGCACCAGATACGGCTATAATGACCGGGCGTTCTATTCGGGTGAAGACGGTAGGGTGCAAAAATCACAGAAGTAGCACCGCCAATGACGTCTGCGGTTTCATGGTGGCTCGCCCAAAATTTTGCTAGTCGGTGAAACACTCTTCGTATTTTTTATTTGACTGGGGCGTTTTGCGCAGAGGCTCCTCTAAGCCTAGAGGTTTACAGTAGCCACAAGTATCCTAAGCAATGGCCTCCCATGGTTCACGGAAGATTTGCTAGTCCGTGAAAGGCCTATTTGATGTTCGATTTGAGTAGGTGGTTTTGTGCAGTGCCCCCTGTAAACTCAGAGACCCAACCACATGCATCCCACATGACAATATTACTTTGAGTACCCGTGGCTGACGTTGGGGAGAGCTGTGTGCTGTATTGGCTATGGCGAATGCACCGACCTCAAGGGCGTTGACGGAGGAGAGTCCTGTAGAGCCTAGGGGAAGTAGCACTTGGACTACCCTCTCACCCGGATAGAACACCTGGTTGTTATATAGACCAACTCTCAGTCCAGATACAGGAGTAATGACCAGCCGTTCTGTTTGGATGAAGACGGTAGGGTTTAGACGATATCAAGCAAGAGGGTTATTCGAGCATTGAAGAGAGTGAGAGTGGTGCTGTGTGATGAGAAGGGTGGGGAGGAGAATGAAGATAGAGTGTGAAGAGGGGGGTTGAACTATCGTTGTTTTACTGATGGGAGGTGACTTGCAGCCTGTTATCATCCTGCTGAACACTGATTTCTTATGGTTGGAACTACCGTCTACCCCCGAACACAGCGCACCCAGATTGTTAATGTATACAAGCTACCTTTCCGACCCTATACAGTCAAAATGAGGGTGCATTGTGTTCCAGGAAAGACAGTAGGCTTCGGTTTATGCGAGGAAAATTTCAATAGGATTTTTCCAATAAAGATTGGCAAGTAGTCAGCAAAAGGGAGGTCGAGTGTATGCTCACACCAGGACTCTTTTTTTGACCGAATCTAGCTGTAATCGAGGTCAAGCACATCTGAGAAAGTCCTAGAGTAGTATGCGCTGCCCTGAGACTCTTGTCTTCATCTCCTTGGTATTCCTTCATTCTTGTGTGTTGGGGCCCTCTTGCTTATCCGAGTTTGTGGACATCTTCTGAATCCAGTGTGTGTCGTGGGCGGCTCGTGAATGGGCATGAGTATCGCTTTCTGTCTACGACTTTTGAAGGCTCATGACTCCTGTTACTAATAGAAATCAAATCTGGCATGGTGCTCAACTCTGAACAGCCTCATAATAGAGAGAGAGAGAGAGAGAGAGAGAGAGAGAGAGAGAGAGAGAGAGAGAGAGAGAGAGAGAGAGACACACACACACACACAGAAAGAGAGAGAGAGAGAGAGAGAGAGAGAGA